CTTGAGCCACAGCATCACTTCTGGCTTTTTTCTTTTTGCTTATGTGGTGCTGAGGAATCGAACCCAGGGCCTCATGCATGCAAGGCAAGTACTCTACCACTGAGCCACCTTCCCAGCCTTGGATGTGTCTGACTTTGAACCAGGATCCTCAGATTTGAGTAGCTAGGATTATAGGTGTGTGCCACCAGTGATAGGCATTGTTTTAAGTTGGTTTCATGAATGAGCCTTTGTAATTCCCACAATCCTTTTAGGCCAGAGCTATCCTGGTCCTCACAGGGTCTGGGAGAATGTGGGGCCAGGTGGTTAAGTAGCTAGCTAGCCCCAGGTTCCACAGGGAAGAAGGGGCAGAGCCTGCAGATCTCACACCCTTACTTTCCTACACTTCAGAGATGTTCATATCCATCTCATGGGATCCTCCTGCCAATCATCCTTAGGGGGTAGGGTTATCTTCTGCATTTTACAGACAAGGCTCTGTTGGGCCCAGAAGAATAGACCTAGACCAAAGCAAGAATGCCAGTCCAGTAGTAACTGGTGATTCATTTCCAGAGTGAGATTGACAAGGGGACCATTCATCATACATGTACCTGGTGGCTTTATGTCAGGTCTCTTTCCGTTAATTATCACCCTGGGGGTTGCCTCAGACCAGATGAAACAGTGACTGCTAATGCATCCCGATTTTGTAGGGGAAAAGACTCAGAAGGATAAAGCCTTTCTGAGATTGCACAGCGGCAGGAAGTGGCAGAGTGGGGATTTGAACTCAGGTTTCATCTCCATACCATACTGTATCCCCTCATCATGCAACACCTCTGATTAGTCCCAGATTCTTACTCAGCTTCTTCTTCTGGCTCTCAGGGAGGCAGATGATGCTCAATCCGTTGGTGAGAAGAATCCAGCCTGGAAAGAGGACCTCCAACATCTTTGCCAAGCCTGCTGAGCCCCCAGAGAGTGAGTTCTTCCTGGAGTAGGGAGGTCCAGGCAAGGGATGGGGGGGGGTGCTTTGCTACACTTGCTAAGTGAGTCTCTAAAGCCAGGGAAAACCCACTTTTACTCTATCTATCTATCTATCTATCTATCTATCTATCTATCTATCTATCTATCTATCTATCTATCTATCTATCTATCTATCTATCTATCTATCTATCT